TCTGCACTAGTCAACTCAGTCTCTAGGAAAGTTATTTCCTTAGTGCAGTACAGCTTGAAATTGTCTATAAAGCCTCTGCAATCTGAAAGGAGAATCAAGGTAGTCTTCTTGGCATCTGGGAGTAGAAGCACCTGCATAAAAGAAATTTCTTTTCAGTTTGTTTGTTTTGGGTAATGTTTCTAAGTTTAAAATGAGCCATCAGTCTTTGAAAGAAGGTGTAATGGAAAAAACTTGGGTTTTATTTAGCTTCCAGACACAGGTTGACTCTCCACTCTCTTGCTCATTGGCTACATGACTTCAGGCAAGTTAATCCATCTCTCAGAACCTTTCTTTCCTCACTGTCAAGATTGCATGAGCCAACACCTGGCATAGCAAAGTACCCTTTTTTCTGCTTAGATTCTACATACACATTTGGAAATGAAATGAGAACATTTTTTTTTTTAATTAACTGAGAAAGTCAAAACCAAAAACCTAGCTCACTTGGTACGTCAAAAAAAGATCCATGGATCCAGACTGTGTCAGCACCAGACATGGAAGAGTGTTGACAAGGACAAAGCTAAAATCTCAAACTCAGTGATCTAAGAGAAGACTGGGCTTTCAGATTGGGCTTTCTTCCCTCCAAAGCTGCCAATGTGAGGATGGCCTCACTACAATATCTCTAGGTCCTGTGACTCACAGGGGAGTAAAGGAAGAGACCCAGATTAAGTTCCCATGTTCTGAAGGTTCCTGGCCCAAGAACAGAGACAGTCCTCTCCAACACCCTAAGAATCCAGGGCTCCCATGTGGAAAGATCGAGGGAGTTTAGTAATAAAAAGCTAGAACTCTAGAGCCAAACTTCCTGGGTTTGAGTCCTGGTTCTGTCACTCATGAACTGTGTGACCTTGGGTAAGTAAGTTTAATCTTTCTGTGCCTCACAATCACAGAACAGGTCCCACACAATCAAGCCCACGATCTGGCATACATACAAATTATCACCTAATCACAAACATATATGTGATTGCACACTTACACCCATAATGCCACACATATACACGGCACAAAGATGGAGAGATGGTCACACACAATCTCTCCAACAGAGAGACAGTCACACAATCACACACGGTGGCAAACCACACAAGGTCATACGTCTTATCACAATTACTTACGCTACATCATACCTGCAGATACAGATGGTCATGGTCACACAATCACACTTGCTGTCACACACATTCAAACACAGTTGTATCTGCAGAGACAGGTGGTCAGACAATCACACACACATTCACGGACACACACACACACACAATGTCACATCCCAGTGTCTCACAAACCCATGCATAGTTATACTTGGGAGACAGATACACGCAAAAATACATATTCACAGTTTTTTCCCTAGAGGCAGTCACAGTCACGCACAAGCACACACACACGGTGACACACAAGATCACATTCTGTCACACCTGCAGCCTGTCCCATAATTATACACAGTAACAAAGTGACACACTGTCACAAACACAACCCTCCTGGCGGTGCCCGCCGAGTCCCCATCCTTGTCCCGGCCGGTCCACCACCAAACCGGCCCTGACCTCCCACTCTCGCCCGGCCCGGCCTAACTCACCTCCCAGCGCCGCGGGCTCTGCAAACTGGCCCCGCGACGTCGCCTCCCAGAATCCTCCGCGAGGTCGAGCGGGGCGAGGACCACGGCGAGCAGGATTCCGAGCTCTGCGGGATCTTAAGCGGCGACACAGCGATCCCCTCCGACTCAGCGAACCACGAGCTCCAAAACGCTTTGCGCCACGGCCTTCTTTGCCGAACTACATTTCCCAGAGGACCCCACGACCCGCCTGCACTTCGCGCCTGCGCTGAGGTGCTGGTACGGGGAAGGGGGGCGGCGCAGGGGGCGCGCTGCGTGCGACCCCAGGCGAGCGAGTGACGCTGAGCCGCTTGTGTGAGAAAACGGTGAGGCTGCGCGCGTGGGTGATCGAATGCTCGGGCGTGGCGGTTTGTGTGGGACTTTGCCACACACCTTTGCGCTTGCGCACCAAGGGGCGGCGGATGCTGTCAGTGCAGTGAGCTTCTGTATTTTAAATCACATCCCGATTGTGGGTCGTTGTGTGATAGACTTGGGTGTGTCATGCTGAGAATGTGAGACAGACTGTGGGTGAGAGACAATGGCTGACATTGGGGGTGACTGTTTCTGTAACTGTGCTCTTATCCCAGAGGTCGCAGTTTACCTGAGAAAGGCGGCGGAGCTTCCTCTGTTTCTGGACTTGCCATTGCAGCGGTCCCCAACCTTTTTGGCACCAGGAACCGGTTTCATGGAAGACACTTTTTCCACGGACAGCAGCAGGGGAAGGGGAGCGAGGCGGGGGGCGGGGCGGTGAGAGGAGGGGGTTATGGTTCTCCCTGAAAGAGGCAATTGTTTGTACTTTGAAACGTTATAAGGTTCTAAGCATCCTACAATATGGATAATGCATTCATTCACAATTTCTGCATCACTGAATGGCTTCCCTTTCTTCCCCGAGTATATAAGCTACTTTATAAGTTGCTTCAGTGGCATTATTTCCAGGTCTTATTGCTGCTTGAAAGCATTGGCTTTGCTTTTGTTTCTCATCTTTTAATT